GTATACCTTCCGATCGGGCAGGTGCTCGATCAATATGACTTGCTTCAGCTCCTCAACCGTTGACTTAATGGCATCGTAATCATCGGAGGCTATGGAAGACATGAGGACTCCGTAATCGTCATCCTCGCTCATCCCCTGCTTTTTTGGTTCGGTCGGGCCAGTGTTGGTGATTTCTTTTTGGTTTCTTCCTTTGTGACCGAACTCGGGTTCTTCGATGTCGAGAGTGCAGATATTGGGACCACCTCATCGACCGCGAACATTTCTTTTGTGGCCGACTACTCTTCGTATACTGTTTTGATCCCTCCCTGTGTAGGGAATTTCAATGCTTGATGTAGTGTCGAGGCAATTGACCCTATGTTGTAGATCCATGGCCTCCCGAATAGAGCGTTGTATCTCATATCTCCTTCGATCACGTAGAACTTTGTTTCCTGAACGGTTCCTACAGTGTTTACCGACAAGGTTATCTCCCCTTTAGTGGACTCACATGCCATGTTAAAACCGTTTAAAACTCGGATTGTAGGCACAATTTGGTCTTGTAGACCGAGCTGTTCCACGCCCCTTGATATGATGATATTGACCGAGCTACATGGATCAATCAACACACGCTTAACTCGAGATTTGTTTATGAGTAGAGATATTATCAGCACATCGTTGTGTGGTTGTATGATGCATTCAACGTCCTTGCCATTGAAATATACGGTCCCCTCTAGTACATAATCTCTAGTCCGATTTTTCCTTGTAATGGACATGTTACTGCGCTTTAACATCTGCCCCTGTGGGACCTCAACCCCAACAATGATCATGTTAATGACGTGCTGAGGTTCCTCTTGCTCGATTTGCATGTTGGAGTCCCTATTCCTGAAGTGATTTTTGGCTCGATCACTTAGAAACTCTCGGAGGTGTCCGTTGTTGAATAACCGAGCTACTTCCTCTCTCAGTTGTCGGCAGTCTTCGGTTCTGTGGCCGTGAGTGCCATAATATTTACACATTAGGTTAGGATCCCTTTGGGCAGGATTAGATTGCAATGGTCGAGGCCACTTAGTATCTTTGATGCGTCCGATGTCTGAAACGATGGCGGCAACGTCGACGTTGAAGTTGTACTCCGATAACATTGGTGCTTCCTTAGACTCAATGGGTCTGTCAAAACCGTTTTTGCTCATAAGTCCCCGGTTATTATGACCTCGGTCTCTCTTTCTTTCACTTCTAACAGTGTTACATCCGGACCCATTTCCCCTTCGATCTCCATTGTATGTTTATACCGGTCTCTATTCGATCTTGGTTCACGATCAATGTCTTTTCTAGATCTATCACTAACTCTGCCGGGATAAACGGACCCGTAAGGGGACTCGAGCTGATCGTCTTCGACCCTGATTTTTGATTGGCACCGGTTATGGACGTCGGCCCAAGTTACTACGGGGTATTATATTAGATTTTGCTTCAACTGCTATGAAGACAATGAGCTTCAGGGGATTGAGTCCTTGGGTGAAGGCCTGAACCGTCCAATCATCTGCGACCGGAGGAAGGTCCATCCGTTCTATTTGAAACCTCGATACGAATTCCCTGAGCATCTCGTTATCTCTTTGCTTTACCTTGAAAAGATCTGATTTCCTGGTCTCGACCTTGATGGCCTATGCGTACGCTTTTACAAAGGCATCTACAAGCATAGCAAACAAGTCAATATAATTAGGGGATAGGTTGTGATGCCATATCATAGCTCCTTTCCACAAAGTTTCTCTGGTTTTTTTCAACAGAACGGATTCAATTTCATCATCCTCCAAGTCGTTTCCCTTAATGGCGCACATATAAGAGGTCACATGTTCATTTTGATCGGTTGTCCTATTATACTTTGGAATTTCGGGCATAGGAAACTTCTTTGGGATCGGCGTCGGAGCTGCACTAGGAGGGAAAGATTTTTGGACAAATTTCTTAGAATCGAGGCCCTTTAGTATCGGTGGCGCTCTCGGGATTTGATCGACCCTGGAGTTATATGTCTCAACTTTTTTGTCGTTGGCTTCACTTTTCTTTTCTCCTAATTCCACCCGTCTTGTCAATTCCTCAAGCATCTTTATTATCTCGGGGTTGGTCCCAGGTTCTGCTTCACCCGGCCTTTCTGTGGCCGGTTCATTTCTGCGGGCGTTTTCCCGGGACGATTCAGGCTCAGTTCTACTGTGGGTGCGGCTTTGGTTCTGCAGCTGGGCTATCGCTACCTATTGAGTATGTAATATTTCGAAGATCATGCGCAAGTTGATCACATCACCTTCGCTGTCGTATGTATTCTGGGCTATCGACCGTGCTCCCCCCGCGAATGCTGATTTCGGGGTCGGTAGGCATGTTTGCTTCGATAGCTACATGTGAGTTAACATCGATCGGATTAACGACTTGGACTCCGTTGGGGTCAGCAGGGGGCACCTCGTTGCTGGATACCACATTGTTGTTCTCGCCATGGTGCCCGGACTCAGCACCCACGTTCAAAGGGGCAGATTGGGAGTTCGACATTTTTAGTTTTGACCTGAAATTAAAAGCTCAAAGATAAGTGTAAAATAGAGTGTGTTATGGAAATTTGTATCAAATTGCCACTATTATCCTTAGCCCCACGGTGGGCGCCAAACTGTTTATCCTAAAAAACAGATAACAATTAAATTTGTAAGTAATTTTAAGGATACACGGGTTAATTCAATACAAACGATAAATTACGTTAGATTAAACAGATAAATGACGTAATAAATTGTCAAACCAATCAAAAGGAGTGATCCCGGACTTAGTAACGACTTAATGAAATGCATGTATTTGATCTCGGGCTCACGTTACTGATGATTCGACGAACAAAAGTAAGAACTTTGAATAATAGAGAAAATAAGAGTATATTGCCTTGATGTGCGTGTTACAATGTCTAATGAATAATCAGACCCCTTTTATATAGTAGGGAAGTTTTACCCTAAGTACAATTCCATAAAAGGTACAAATCTTCTATTTAACTAATCACCGGTTCTATGTCGATACCTGCCAAGATTCACGCCGTGACATCCGGCTGGTCTAGGATATCACGACATTTTGTTGGTCGTGCTCGGTTATCTGGTAATGCTCTCCGAGGTTTTTGGGATTCGAACCGAACCTGGGGGTCATGACCCTGATACTCCCGAGAGTAGGCGTTTTGCCCGGAGCTCGGCTCGAGGGGCTCCTTGCCTCGATTTCGATCCCTTACCGTCATGTCTCACTCCGTTTACTTCATCGGAAACCGAAGCGTCCCATGGGTTCGATTTCGCCCGTGTACACATAGTAACACAAAAAGGCTTACTCGAATAAAATTACGAGATCATCAAATTCGAACTCATGAGATCATGGATTAAATTATAACTTCTTAATTACTTAAGGGACCTTACTTACCAAAGGATCATATCTAAAATACAATTACCTGCCATAGTTAATGTTTTTTTTTTTGGGGGGGGGGGGNGGTTGGGGGGGTTTCATTTTGTTTGGCTAAAGTGTGATCCGAACCTGTATTTTTTTATGATATGACGTGGAAAAAAAAGTAGAAGGGCAATTTTGGCTTTACGGCATGAATCATTTTAAAATAGGGATAATGAAAAGGTAAGGGGAAAATATCTGGTACGAAGAAGACCTTAGGCATACATTGACAAGTTTGACTATAGGGATAGCGGACTTGAAATGAGCTATCCAATCTGGTTAATCTTATTCTTCACAGTCTTTCATCTGTAGTTATATAAAATTCATTAAATCTCCCATTAAATTAATTTGCCGATTGGAAGGACCACGTCAGCCACATGACTGGTGGTATTAGTTGGCCAATAAGACCCCAGGCCAGGGACGCGTAATTCGACTGTATAACCGACACGTATTAGGCATACATTACGTTGGAATTAAATTAATATTTGAAACACAATTCTCAATGCGCCAGCTCACTCCACCCACATTGGCTAACCCCTCATCTCTCTAGTAAGGATCCTTCCTTTCTCTTGCCATATCTTTTTGTGTTCAATGCAGGTGGCTATAGTAGGCTGAATAAACTTTTATGCCGATAATATTTAAAATTCAATAATTACAACTAAAGATTTACTCACTATTTGTATTTGTAATATATAGAAATCCAATATTTTAAATATTTGAAGTGCAATAAAAATTTTAATTGAGAAATATTTTAAGTGAAATAATATTTTTTATCATAAATTTTTAAACTCTTTTTCTTAAATAAAATTTATGTCTAAACATAAATTCAACTTCTAAATACTCTTTTGAACAATTTTAATTTTTTCTTCTCGTCAACCATATATTTTTTAATACTGAACATAAACAAGTTAAATCTGAAACTACATGAAAAGAAGTTATTTCAAAAGACATAAAACACAATAAAAAAATAGGATTTATACAAATAATACCTATAAGTTAACATGTTAATATATTTTTATTAACTCCTATACTTTCTAAGTTCCTATGAATCTTAATCTATTTAGAGATCTTTATTCAAGTAACAATTACACACACAAAAAAAATTAGTCAAATAAATTATTGTTAATCATAGTTTTATAAACAATAAATTATAGTTCTCTTCAAAGTTAAAAAATTATTATAAATAAATGAAAATAAAGAAGTTAATCATAGTTTTATAAACAATAAAAAACTTAATGATTACGAAACAAGATTGAAGGGTAGTCTCTAAACTTATCTTTCATGAATTTAAATGAAAAATATTACATTAGTAATAATTCATAGAATCGATATTAACTTGTTTAAAAGTCTTGGCGTAATTGTGATAATCAAATATACGCCTACTTGGAGAGTCTTAATTAAAAATTCTAATTTTGCTAAAGAGGCCACGTAACACAACCCTTTTATCCCTACTCGTATTACATTTTTTTCTGGCGACCCGTATATACATGCCAGGGTATAATGTATAAGTACAAGCTTTATTTAAAGTACGGACACGTGTATCGTGACGTGGATGTTGCCTTGGCGCTCCCCTCTTTCTTCTTCTTCTCTCTCTCTCTCTCTCTCTCTCTCTCTCTCTCTCTCTCTCTACTATCTTTGCTCACGCCACACGCCCTTTCTCTTCTATTCTCCTCTCTTTTCTTCTAAGTTCCTTTTAGAGAGAGAAAATCTACACAAAGAATGCAGAAACACTAAAACTTTTCACTGCAAAATTCCGGCATCTTCAGAAGCTTTCTGTGTATAGAGTTTGAGGTATGTTCAATTTTACTTGGTAACAAAAAAATTCCTTACTTTTTGTATGGAGTTGAATTAGAGTTTGATCTCTGTAAATTCTCTTGAATTTTCTGTGCTATATTAACGATATATGTTCTTGTGCTATATCTTTTGCCACTAGTTAATTTTCGTTTAATTTTGGGCTCATATAGAGCGGGATTGAGATTAAAAATTCAGAATTAAGATATAGTTGTGACTGGAACAACGGGAGGAACAAGAGAGAGTGTAAGCTTGAGCTTGAAGCTGTGAGAAATTGAGTTTGAGCTGAAGAGAATGTTATTGAATTTAGAGTAGTTATGGGGAATGTTGAATTCCGAATGTTTATTTGGAATTTCAGCTAATTATTTTTTTTAAGTTTTTTTAGTTTTGATGGTTATAGCCTAGATTGTGATTTAGGTGGGCTGACGGGGATAAAATTGTAGTTAACCTGTAGATTCAAAGTTTCGTAATGCTTGCGTCTTTACTTGGGTTTTAGGTGGGGACTGTGAGGTTACGACTATGCCCCTTACATTTCCTCTTTTACCTTTTCTTTTTTCTCCTGGGGGAGTGTGGGGGTGTGTGTGGACTTTGCCATGGAACCCACTTTCATTTCTCTCTTTCTCTCTCATTCACACACACACACACATGAGAATTTAACAACATAATCAGCATCCGGAAAGCATGTTTTTTTTTTTGGGAAAGCAAGTTTATTTACCGAGAAAATAAGTTAATTTTGTGATAGCCGAGGATTGTATTGCACATAGAAGCTCCTTCAAGAGAGGAGTGGGGCTGAAGGGGGGGAGGAAGGGAGAGGGGAGGTGATGTAAGATTAATGTTCTGAACGGGCAAGAAAAAATAGAAATTACTTTTTGAAGGATGTACTGGAAAAAATGTAGGAGATGATATCTCACAGATTTCCCATAACAATTGGTAGAAAGGGCAAATTTGGTTTGAAGGCCATTACACAGGAGGTTTACCAAGTGCGCATCAAGTGTAGCGGCTGCCGGTTTCCCTCTTATCCCAAAAAAAAAAAAGAAAGGGCAAGTTTCAAAAAAATTTGGTAGAGACGTGATATTTCAGCCCTCCCTTGTGTTATGCCTGGCTTTTCTATGGGCAGTGGCGAAGACCTAGCTTTTTATCAAGGGGAATCATCATATGCTATATGTACATAAAAAAAAATAACCTTGTATATACATTGTGATTTTCCGGCGATAGATGTTCGAATGAATCCCCTTCCGCTCCTCTAGCACCGGCTCACCGCCCCTGCCGGCGGGGCTTTTGCAACACGGAAGCAACCATCTAAGAGTTGTTAGAGAGGTTAGAAATGTATCTTAGGTTAGTGGAAAGAGAGTGACCTTTGGATATAAATCACGAGAATGTGTAAACATGATAAATATTTCACCTTCCTTTGCTGAAAGTTATGTGGCCATGCGAGAGGGATTAAATGGAACAAAAATTGACTGGATTTTGACTGAAATGGTTAACATTGAACTTGGTAAAATGAAATGGATGAATAATTGGAAACTGAGATTATTCATTCTGATGTATCTATAGTATAGGCTTATATAAGCTGCTACATCAAAATGAGGTCTCAGGTTCAAATCCCAGCGGAGGCAAATATTAGGTGATTTCTTCCCATCTATCCAAGCCTTGGTGGATAGAGTTACCTGGTACCTGTTGCTGGTGGGAGGTGGTAGGTATCCAGTGGAATTAGTCGAGGTGCGCGCAAGCTGGCCCGGACACCACGGTTATCAAAAAAAAAAGAGATTAAAGTTATAGAGTTTTACACTATCTAGTAGTGTGGTTTAGCATGTTATAGCACGTCCTTTCCTTGTTTTTCAGGTTACAGCCTGTGTGTGGAGTACACAAATATATGCAGTTAATTTTTAAGTCAATGACTTTTACACTGTCGCGTGTATACAAATTAACCCTTCATAAAATGTCAAAGCTTGGATGGAGTTAGAAGTATCCGCTGACAATTGAGTAACCAACATTCTGCATTTTAATAATCGATTAGCTATATAGGAACTGACTTTCTATCAAATGTTCATTAACAACTTGAGAATCCTCTAAGGTGTTGAATGTATTAACTACATGTGACAGAATCAATATATACATAATTCGTGAATGGTGTTGTGTCAGTTAAAAGATGAAATCAATAATTTAAAGGGAGAATTGGGAAGACCATGTAAAACGTGTTTAATTCTCCTGTAAGACTAATTTCATAGGATAACATGTGCTGCAATATTTGGTTGGATTTTAGGTTCAGTAGGATAAATTTCCCATGGTCTCATCAATTCAGGCCTATGAAAATGAAGTCAGCTAACTTAATAGGATATCTTGTACTATTGATTATTTAAGCTTTCTCTTTTATGTTCATTGTTAATTATAGAAAGTCATCTCTGTTGAGTCCTCCCATGGGATGGGATAGATCACATGTGAAGAATGATCTATGAGAAAATATACTCCACTAGTATGCCAGCAGGCAATAAGTTCAGTCCAGTCTCCAGATGTGTGTTTCATGACATAAATACTCGATTTTGTCCAACTTGGAAAATTCTCACAGTAGTATGTGTTGTCCAACTTGAGTTCTCTTTAATATATTAATATTTCCTTTTTACTTTGATAAATTGGAATGGATAAGAGAAACTTCACAAAATCATTTGCTTTCTCAGTTTTCTGGCCTACATACTCTATACCTTAATCCTTTTTTTGAATTAATATATGGATTTTTATGCGGTTTGTTCATGTTGTGAATTCTATTTCTCTCTGGTTACAGGGTTTGCTTTTCTGTAGCTAGTTGGCACAACACTCCTGATCAGTGACTACAAAAGGAAATTTTGATTGCACTTCTAATTTAATACAGCATCTAGTTGGTTCCTAATACATGGGAAACAGTGAGGACGGAAAACCTTCTAAGCCTGAGAAATCATCTTCGCCTACACCGGTAAGCAAATTTGACAAAAAATATTGTTTGAGTAACTATACGGCATTTGACTTTCTTGACCTGTGGTTTGATATGGTCTTTGGCTCCATAAGAACCCTAGATTTGTGCATATGATGATGCCTATACGCTTCTGTTCCTTGTATATTGTGAACTATTTTAGAATTTCATCTCTGGCTGGTTGTTCTTTGTTCACATTGGCAGGACCAGAGCAATCTCCATGTCTATCCTGATTGGGCGGCCATGCAGGTCAATACTAATTTTTCATTTTGTTGGAGATACAGAGAGTTGTAATGTTTTATCGATAATTGTAAGGGCTTAACTGGTTAACTCTTCAGGCATATTATGGTCCTCGAGTAGCTGTACCTACATATTTCAATTCAGCCGTT